ACAGGGGCCATGGGGCACCCTGCAGCACACAGGGGCCGTGGGGGACCCTGCAGCACACACATCAGCTGCACTGCAGGAGGCAGGAGGTAACTGAGCTGGGAGCAAGAGCAAAGCAGGCTCAGCAGGCTCAGCCTCCAGCTGCACCTCCAGGAGGTCCCATGAGCTGAAACTCCACAAACAGCTTATTCAGGAGCAGCCCTTGACTGAAGCCAAGCCAGGAACCATCCGCTCCTGGTTGCTCTGCTCCTGCTTGCTCCCAAGGGCAGTGGTGCTGGGGCCAGGGAGCCACAAGCCAAGCAGAGGAAGGGGGCTTGGCTGAGCTGGGGGCAGCCAGGGAGATTGTGGAGCTGGAGCAGGAGGATGGGCAGGACGAGCTCGAGCCTGACCTCAGCTCCAGGGTAAGGAGCTGGCAGAGAAGGAAGTGCTGCTTCACAAGCAGGGGACTTGAGAGGACACTGGGAAAGGCTTTAACCTGACACAGGTGGGATATCAGGAAGTTCACCATGAGGGTGGTGGGATACTGGAAGGGGTTGAAGGAAGAAGCTGTGGCTGCCCCATCCCTGGCAGTGTTCAAGGCCAGGTTGGACACAGGGGCTTGGAGCAACCTGCTCTAGTGGAAGGTGTCCCTGCCTGGGGCAGGGGGTTGGAACTGGAGGAGCTTTAAGGAGCAAAAGGTCAGCCCGTGGCTATGCTGGATCTCTGGGGATCTCTCCACTTGTTTGGATCCATTCACCCACATGCTATGACCTTCCCTACAAGGTTCTCCAGGACCTATGAGCCCAAGCAAAGTGTGGTGGGGCTGGAAAAGGATCACTGAATTATGGAATTGGTCAGGTTAGAAAAGACCTTGAAGATCATCGAGTCCAATCATTGCCCTGCACTGCCAAGGCCACCACTAACCCATGTCCCCAAGCACCACATCTACACATCCTTTAGATGCCTGCAGGGATGGTGCCTCCAGCACTGCCCTGGGCAGCCTGTTCCAATGCCTGAGCACCCTCTGGGGAAG